TAAACCACAAATGAGCATCGTAAACAAAAAATAAAAACAAGGAATTTCTGTAAGATTGGCTAGTGTCAATGGATCAGGCACAAAGATGGCCAATACTTTTCACCGAGTATAGCAAAGTCACTGTTGCGTTTCTGAAAGCATTTATGAGTACACGAATTTTTGTTCTCTTGAAAAATAATACGCCGAATATGTTGTATTACTATCAAATGATTCTTGTCAAAAGTAATACATTTAGCATCTGTGTCTCATAATTCTTCTAATGATGAGTGGTATTCAAGGAAATGAGTTTAATTAGTATCCACAGACAATGAAATTTATTTTACAAGATCAGGTAATTTTGATCGGCCACAGCCGGTTAGCATCTAATTTTCCTTTTTATTTTTTGAACACATACTTCCCAACATTTAAATTAATGTATACGACCTTTATGATTTTAGTTTTGAACTCAAGTTAATTATGAGTTCAAATCTAATATTTAATGATTTTTATGCATACCAACACATATAGATGTTATGTATTAAAAATACTTGATTAGAATGAACCCCTTGCTAAAATAAAGGGTGCATCCGCGCCACGGGTAACATGTCCTCTAAGTTGTTAAAAATTAAAAGAGTCACGTTGTTTAAATTAGTGCTACATGAATAAGTAGTCCATTGAGGAAAACTTCACCTCTGTACTTATGCAGGTGGAGGCATCTTCTTCGGCAATAAAACGTATACTTAAAATAAAAGAAACAGTAACGGAGAATCTATCAGATAAAACTTGTTGACATATACGATTTTCTTTAACCTGATTTTGATCTTAATCGCTAGTGGATAATCTCTCGATTGAAGTATCATGCATGTTTGAAAAATATATTTAAGATACTATACTATATGAATATCCTTTTAAATTTTAATATAATTCTTAGTGCGTTACCCAAGATAGAGGCGTACTTGAATCTTCCGACAACAGAAAATGTAGATGCACTTATGTTGCTCTCAACTAACGCGACTGGTTGAGCACTGGGGTTTATATAAATAATGCAACTCACTAATGAAGATTAATTAAGGTAAGCAAACACCACTTTGTTAATTAAACGTCAGAAGAACATAAATGGGGGCAAATGGTGGCCCTAGCTTTAAAACTTCTAGTTTGAGGTCAGACCATTATACCAACAGCATTCCGAAAATTGATAAAAACTAGTACAAATTTGAAGTCATGTAGTACGAACACTCTTGCAAAATTAGTAAAATCCTAATTAGTTGCATATTATTTAGCTTAGTGGGGTATTTGTTTTCTCTCATTCTTTGATTGAACATCGTTGTTGTGACGTGTGTCGTGTCTTTGCGTCAAGGAATTCCATGATGACAGTGTATTGATAAATGATAATACCTACTTTGTGAATTAATCCATGTGTTATTCATTTTTCTTCATATTTGTAATTAAGTTGCTAAAGCACTGTGATAAATGATTCATGTACTTAATATCTTTTTCGTAAAAAGTTAAATCTTTTCCCTTTTCCTTTATGTAAAGCATATTTGAACTTATATTCTAGCACGTCACTTGTATTGCTACAGAAGGAAATTTTTTAAATTTGCGTCTTTAATTGTATTTGTGTTTAATATGAAGTGCATATTATGATTCCAATCTCAAAGAGAGGGACGTTTGTGCAGTGTATAAATGCTCTGCATGCAACCTTCATCTCATGAGCCACTTTTAGAGTCGAAGTTAGACAAATTGGTGAAAAAATATTAAGCTTCAGAAGAAAAGATGAACATAATAACTAATGCAACATGTGAAAAACATGTTATAGCCTAGGTTTAATTCTTAATTTATTGGGTAATAGGATGCTTAGTTGCTTTTTCAGGAGGGAATGTTAATGATTACTGAGACATAAGTGCGTAAATCCAATTAATTAAGTGGAGAATTTAATGATGTGAGCGAAGATGGAGTAAATTTTTAACTTCTCAACACTTGGTGGAAGAAAAATTATGCTCCCACAACTAAGCTTAAATAAATATTGTGATGAGCCACCATAACTTCGAATTCCTAGCTTAATTAAAAATTCTAACGCAACTCATTCCAATCATGTCGGAAAATAAAAAATAAAATGATTTTTTTTTGTTTATATAGAGTTTCGGGCCCTTCTCTTCGTTGGATGTGTGGCCAAGCCATTCTCAAATCTATTTTAGGCCATCAAACAAGTCCCAATTTTGCTAGTTGATTGCGAATGTACCAATCTAGTGCTAAAAAGACAAGTGATAAGGGTTAAGAAAAAAGTATCATTCAATGTGAAAAAAATGTAAAACTTTAGAAAAGGCCCTTTTTCTGACTAATAATATGAAGGTGAGGGGTGTGATATGTTTAAGCAATCGACTACTAGCACCATAGTCCATATATAATTTAAAGGACAATATCTCAAATCAATAATAAAAGTAAACATCAAATCTATCAGCAATCCTCCTCTCTTTTCCCTCCCTCCACCCACGGATCTAATTCTATAGATGTTAATTAGTTCATTTGAGTTTATAACTTTTAGCCTATGTATGAATTTATCAGGGTAAAACCTACAGAAATCGTAAAAAAATATTGAACTATGAACCTAAAACTAAAACAAATTGATGGATCTAGTGATTCAATCCTGAATTATAATTCCGAATTCGCCTCTACCAACTGCCAAAGTGGCAACAAAGAACAACAACATACTCAGTATATTCCCACAAATGAGGTCTGAGAAGGATAGTATGTACGCAGAACTTACCCCTACCTTGTAAAAGTAGAAAAATACTATTTTCGGAAGACCCTCGGCTCAATAAAGTAAAATCACAGTAATTATGATAAGGAACTATAAAAAGCAAAATAATAACAACAATCAAAAAAAATAAAATCGAAGCAAAAAAAATATCAAATAATAATATCAATCAAAAAACAACAAAAGTCTGGAGTATCAATAATACATCTATCCCTTTTTGTTTGTTGCCTGAACCACTACTTTGGAAATAAAGATTGGTAGACCAGCACTGAATCAATCACACACAGTGACTAGTCGATCTTTCCTTTTTAGGATGAAAAGTCTCCAGAGGAAGTAAAAGAAGAAAAGGTAATTAGTTCTTTCACAGCTCCTTCTAACTGTCTATTGGTAAAAAAATCGAGTCCTGAATTAAAGTATGGTATTTTTTTTACTCAAATCATAAAAATAGGTGAAAAAATCAAATGATGATCAATTTATATATAACGCATGGATTGAATGCGTTATAATTGAATTTTAAGTGGCGGTCAAAATATAAATATAGCGCATATACCGGATGCACTATACCTGAAGTTGAAAAGACAGGTAGGTATAGTCCCCCCCTCCCCCCTAAAGCTTAAAAGCTATATTGGAACTCACCCGTCCCCAAATATTCGTGCCCATCCGTATTTTAGCGAGCTAACAACGGATCCAAGGCGTTGTCGTGTAGTGGATCTCGTCTATTGCTCGTTTCGGCTCCCAAATCATCAAATTTTTACAATTCAATAAACCGTAAATCGAAATATTCCGACTTACTTTTTGGTAAAACTCATGTAAATAAAGTGCTTATTAGTTGTTTTTACTGCGTTGTATGCTTTTTGTGATCATTTTGTGATATAACTATTATTTTTATCCGCATTAGTTTATTTATGTGCTAAAATATATATATATATATATATATATANAAATTATATATTGTTATTTTGTTGAATAATTAGTGTTATATGTGCTTTTAGTATTGTACGTATATTAATACGTGACTTTATTATTGTTTAGTGTCATTTAGTGTTATGTTGTGCCTTTAATTATAATGTAGTTCCCTTTAGCGTAGTAAAACTGATAATAAATTTTAGCTTATGGTAGTTGACTTTGTTTATGGCCAAATAGAGTATACTTTAGTGCTCTTTAAAATTCTGTAGTCTAGAATAAAAACTGCGTGCTCTCCTTAACAAATTCGGTTAGAGTACTCAATTATGGATTTAATGTATTAGTAGATAATTATCAAATATTAGATATGAATCATAAAATTATAAGTTGACATTACAAAAGAGACATTGCCGGAAATTTTAGGCAAAATATGACAGTTAACAAACAAATCGTTACGAATGAAATAGACTCAATATTATTTTATATTAAGTTTCTAGTATTTTTTTTATATGAATAGTTATTGAATATATCTTCATTACTTATGAAAATTTAATATTTAATTATGTTATAACCCAAAAAATCTGAAAAAAGATAATAGTTCAAGCAAAACCCTGCAGAATTTTAGTAAAACAATGTAGGAAAGTAACATATGAAATATTAAAATAGAACATTTATCAACCTAAGTATTTATTATATGAATAATTACTAAAATATCTTATTAGTAATGAAAATTAAATATTTAATTCTCTGTTAACCCCAAAAATATCTGAAAAAGATGATAGTTCACACAAAACCCTCCCGAATTTTAGTCAAATAATGTAAGAAAATAACATATAAAATAATAATATAGAAAATTTGTCAACCTAAGTATTTTTATATGAATAGTTATTAAATATATCATGATTAGTTATGAAAATTAATTATTTAATTCTCTTATAACCCAAAAATAACTGAAAAAGATGATAGTTCAAACAAAACCCTGCCGAATTTTAGTCAAAAATGTAAGAAACAAATATATAAAAAAATAATAAAAAAATATATCAACCTAAGTAATAATATAAAAAATGTATCGTTTAAATATTAATATAAAAAATATTGCAATATATTTAAAGATGTTAAACGATTAAATAGAAAAATACTTTAATTAATATTTTTCAATTTACAGACATCGTCATGGAGCTTCCCCCGTGCATTCCGGACCTGCATCTCGAGAGTTACTGTTGCTCCAGGCAACCATAGGTCTTCACACATCTGGGATGGGCAGTGTCTGTCCCAGACCTTCCACCCCAGACGTATAGACGATCTGTGGGGGTTAATTAGGGACCACCCACTGCATCCCCGTACAGTTAGACGCCTTTAGTGGATGGATTTTTACAGGATTATAGAGATCGGTCGGTTGCAGTTCGATTGGGCCCTGATCACGGATATGATAGAGCGGTGGCGACCGGAGATACACACATTTCATCTACACATCGGCGAGGCTACCATCACGCTAGAGGACGTGAAAGTTCTTTTCGGGTTGCCCGTTAATGGTATACCTGTAGCTTACCTGCATGCTCTTAGGGACTATACAGGAGAGGACTACCTTCATATGTTGTAGAGGCTCACTAGTTTCCAGCATTTGGAGTCGACTGCGTTGAGTGGGGCCAGTCGATTGCAGCTGACGCCTATTAGGCAACATCTGGTGACGCTGCACGCAGAGATTACTAATGACTCACCGCTAGAGGATATCCACCGGCAGACAAGGCTGTTGCTGCGGATGATGTTTGGTGGTATACTGTTCCCGAACATTTTAGGAAACCTAGTCAGCTTGCGATTTCTATATCATCCAGAACGGTTAGATGATTTACCTGGTTACATCTGGGTGGAGCTGTTCTAGCTTACCTGCATAGGCAGTTGTGTAGGGCGTGCATGGGGATCGTGAGAGACGTTGCCGGTTTTATACCACTGTTGCAGGTGAAAACATAGTCAATTCTTTTCATGATTATAATAGAGATAGTAAAAAATGCCTTAAATTTTACGTTCACAATATATATTAGGTTTGGTCCTGGGAGGGATTCCTGCAGTTCCAGCCATCTCTGCTATCGATAGCTCCGAATGCACCACCTCCACCGTTTCTCCCACTAGCTAGGAGGTGGGTGGATAGGCGAAGCCGCGCGCGAGGTCGAGGCTCGACATCATCTCCCTTGTGACAGGGATTTGTTTTATTTATTTGAAGGCTCTCTAGTACATATATACTTAAGTTTACTTGGCCTGGCTTGAAACGATCCCAACTGAATATAATACTAACCAAATACTTCACTTTTGTAATTAATTTGATAATTGAAATGAACTAATAAATGATGTAAATTACTTTTACGTGAATATTACTAGTGTCATCTTTCTATACTTAATTGGAAGTTTCTACTTTCCTTTAATTTCCCTTCGTACTTTTAAACAACTGTACTTCAAGCTACACTTCTTGACTAGTACCACAATTTATTTATGTCAAGCCATTACAATCAATTTTAGTGGGTAATAAATTTCTAGGTTGCAGGAGTTTTAGTAAGAATGGCACCTGGTAGTCACTCTTTTCAAGCTATGGTTGTCTTATTTTCTGGTTGGCCATGCTTCAAAATCAGCTTATTTGGATAAGTATTTTTCCTCAAAAGTGTTTTTATCATATGTACTTTTAGTGAAAAATAATTTACGTTTTGTTAATTAATTTAAAAAATATCTCTGAACAACAATTAGTGTTTGGCCAAACTTCTAAAAGTGCTTCTAAGTGTATTTTTCTCAAAATGGTTTTGGAATGAAACTACGTACTTTTTTCGCTTCTCCAAAACTGCTTCTGCTTTTACTCAAAAATGCTTTTTTTTCTTTTAAAAGCTTGCCAAACACTTCAACTTTTAAAAAAATATTTATTTTGGAAAAAAGTATTTTTGACTTTGAAGAAGTTTGGCCAAACAAGCCACTAACTTCATTGAAAATGCTTGCTATCTTTTAAACCCCAGTCCTAAAACTAAAGTGGCTATGAGTGCACTTAACGGAACATAAAGTACTTCGTCTAGAATTATTAGCTTGTCGTTAATTAGGAGATTGAGAGGAAAGAATAGAAGTTTACTAGTTAATATACTTTCATCAGCTATATTTGTTTAACCCGTTTTTAAAAACAACAACTAAGTTAATGTTAAATATCCAAATTAGATAACAAATTAAGAAGCACGTTGCACATTCATATGAAACAATAGTAATACGCCAGAAAAGAGCCGCAGAAGAGTTGAAGACACGTTTATCGCTTAACTAATGCAAGTGTGCAACTGGTGAGTGCTGGAATTGGAAACAAATAATGCAACTCAGTAATCAAGATTAGTTATAATGCAAGCAAACTCCACTCGATTAAAAGTCAAAAGAACGTTAATATTGTGGACAATTGGTGGCCATGGCTTAAAACTTTTGGATGTGGTAAGACCAGTACCCAACCACATTGTCGACAGCATCCAAAATTGGAAAATAGAAATAAAAAAAAAAAACATTACAAACTTGCACTACTTTAGCACAAAATAACTTAAATTAGCAAAACCTTAAGTTGCATATTAGCTTAGTGGGGCACATAGTTTTTCTTTCTTCGTATCTTTGATAGAACACCACGTCTTTGTTTCAAGCAATTCCACGTTGATGTTCGGCCAAAATGCTATACCTTTAGCACATTACTCGTCCTATATTTTGTTGGTTTAGTGATTTATTGTGCGGCATTTGAACTAAATTGTATTGTTTTATGTGTAAGAACATCGGAAGAAATAGTCGAATGAAAGTTGCACAAAAAGAGGACAACAATACAAGAAAAGAGCACAAAAGCATCAAGTACCCAAACCGTGCTATGACCAGACTTCGCAAGGTCTATAGCCAGGTTGACCGTGCGATAAACCAGGTTTCGCGAGGTCTATAGCTAGGNGTTGAAAAAGGGTTGGGCACTATTTTTGGAGAAGAAAAAGTCTATATAGCATGGTGGAGAAGGAATCAAACGACAATTCCCTCCGTTTATCTATGTGCTTTGTAGTTTAATATCTTTGAACATCATGATGATTGTTGATACATTTATGAGTAGCTAAACTTTCTAATATAGGGCTTGATAGAACCTATTGGAGGATGATTTTCTACTACGTTTAATATTGATTTGCCTTTGATTTATCTCTACTTGTTCAACTACGTTTACATTGTGGTTTATTGATGAGCTCTCAATCGACTGTGCATATTTAGTATGTATTATTTGAAAAAGGGTACATATTTAGGTAGTTGTTGAACAACATCACTCCTAACGTATGTGAGGAATCAATACGGAAGGTTTAAAGGTGGAATTAGGAATAACAAAACCTTGGTGCGATCCTAGTGAGCGGTGAATTAGAGAAAGCTAGCGTAGTTCGGAAGAATATGTCTAGTAAATTGTGGTAGTTACTCGGAAGAGAATTACGACACCCAAAGTACTCACGATCGGTAGAAAATACTTAGGAAAATTTATAGGAAATGTAGCGGGGAGGATTCCAACAATATGGGAAATCATAACCCTAGACTTTTCCAAATCCTGTCCACAACATTTCCTCTGTTAGTTATAAATTACTGTTGTTTAATTACGTTGCTCTTAGTTAGTTAACATTCAAATCGCTATTTAATATTTTTGAAGGTTGATTGCTTGAATTCGTACAGATCTAGTGGTTGTAATTAGTAGGCTAATTCCCTGTGGGATTCAACTCTGGACTTATAAACTAGATTATATTTGCAACAAGCGCCATACCTTTTAGGAGGCATAGTTGGGCTTGATCAAATTTTGGCGCCTTTGCCGGGAAATTAACAGTGTTATTAATTACAGCCAAAAAAATTGTTAGAATTCCTAGTTTATTCAGCTTTCTCGACTTGAAATTCACTATATTAAAACTCTAACGTTTGTAGTCTTGTGCGTTACAGTGCATGCCTAGAAACTCCTCAAGAACTTGTGAATTGTAAGAAGCATTATCGGACCCTGAGAAAGCTTTCAAGGCACTAAATCGAGCAAACAAGAAAGACAAACGATAACAGAACTCAACGGAATGAATCGAACTAGACATGGGTGACGTAATAAACAACTAAAATAATGTGAATGACCCGAACAATTAGGGAGTGGCACCTATTGTGCCAGAAGCGGCTTAATTTGATTGGGCACAACCCACCACTGAAAATATGGCAACCACTATTGCAGTCTTTCAGATACAAGCGGAGTCATTTCAAATCACAAACAACATGCTACATCTGCTGCAGAACAAGGGATTGTTCTCCAGGTCTTACATTGAAGATCCACAACAGCATCTGAAAAACTTTTTGTCAATTTGTGTCACTCAAAGGCAACCGAATGTGACACTGGAAGCAATTAGACTGTTATTGTTTCCATTCTCAGTGACTGGAGAAGCTCAGACTTGGCTCAATTCGCTCCCCGTTAACTCCATCACCACTTTGGAGGAATTAGTCAAGCAGTTTTTGAACAAGTTCTACCCACCCAATAAAACTGCCAAGCAAGTTGATGAGATATTGAGCTTCAGAAAGAAACCTGCGGAAACACTACTAGAAATGTGGGAGAGGTTCAAAGAGATGCTGGTTAAGTGTCCACATCATGGCATTCCATATCAGATGTTGGGACAAAGGTTTTACATGGGATTGGCAGATTGCTTGAAGGCCAACGTTGATGCTTCAACAGGTGGAGCATTTTTGAGCAAATCATTTAGAGAGTGTAAGGTGCTGCTAGATAAAATGGCTCAAAACTCAGGATGGATAACAAGAGACACTACAATCACCCTTGTAGTTCACTCGGTAGCTTTGGACCCAAACAACTCCATACCTGAGAATATGGCCACTCTGATGACGCAAATGAGTATCCTCACCAAGAAGATTGATGAACCATGCCAGAAGCAGGTACACATAGTTGACACAACTAATGGGGGCTTATGTATACCATGCATTAACCAACCATATGTGTCCTCGTGGAGTAGTGAAAGTGACAACCAGAACTATCAGGAAAATATGAACTCTGTGGGCAACTATGGTGGACAGAGGTAAGGTGGTCAGAATTAGGACCAAAAGAACCAGCAGTATAGACCATCACAACAGTAGTACAATAATAGCAATAATCCTGGAGCTGCACGACCACATGCCAGGATGTGCCTTATTAAGGGATACAAGGGTACAATTAGCAGAATCATCAACTAGCTTATCAACAGCCTCAACAACAACAGATAGTGTGACAAGATGATGGATTTCTTGAAATAAATGGAATGTTGCAACAACTCATTGGGTCTAGCGGGAAAATGGAAGAAAAGGTCCACCAAATGCAAGAAAAGGCACACCAAATGTACGAAAATGTAGTATCACACGACTCAACTATCAAGGGCATTGAGATTCAAGTAGGGCAAATATCCATGGCCCTTAATAATCTCCCTCAAGGGACATTACCTGCAGACACACATGTTAACCTTGAAAGAGCACGGCCCGAAGCAGCTGATGGCTGTGAGTCTGAGAAATGGTAGAGATCTTGATCTAGAGCAAGAAATTGCTCGCGAAAGACGACAAACTGAGATACTTGTGCAAGTACCGATTGAGGTAGATGAGTCAACTGAGTTAATAGAAGTAAGAATCCAGCCATCCCAGGAGGAAATAAACAAGGAAAAACAGTTTGCAAAGGAGGCTGAGGAAGTGCAAGAGAAGGCATTAGAAAAAAGTGCCAGAGCAGCATCAAACTCAAGTCATAGGAAAGAAGCGACCGCCCGCACCCTTCCCACAGAGGTTGGACAAATATTAGAAGGATGAGCAGTATAGGAAATTCATGGAGATGTCGAAGCAGATCCAGGGGAACATTCCACGGATTGATGCCTTGGG